TGAGAACTGATTTTCCTTTGTCATGCTTCCTCTCTCACATCCTTTAGCAATATATTAAGTATGTGTTAGACACTGTGTTCTGCAATTTTATGTACATTGAAGAATTAGATTCTCACAACTTCACCTGAGTTGTTACAGATGAGGAAATGAGCTGTAAGAGGTGTGTGGTGAGTTGCTGGTGAGTGGTAAACCCTGCCCTCTTTGCTAGACCAGAGATGCTCAGCCTTTGCTTCACACTAGAAACATCTGGAGACTATTAGAAATAACTGTAACAACACAACAAGTAATCAATACCTGGACCCCTTCCCCAGATTATTGAATCAGACATCCTGGGGGAATGTGTATGTGTGTGTGGGGGGGTGGACCCAGGGTTTCTCTTCTTTTAAAAGCTCCCTAGGTGATACTGATATGTAGCCAGGCTCCAGAACCACTGTATCAGGCCATGCTGCCTCTCCAAAAGGAGAGATAAAAACAAGAAGAGAAGGAAAAATAAAAAAAAGGGAGAGAGGGGGAGGGAATAAGACTAACATTGATTGAGCCCCTTTACATGTCAAATGCTTAATTTTATTTCACCCTCCCAGCAACTGGAAAATTATTTCTATTTTACAGATTTGGTTACTTCTCAGTTACTTAAGCAGAGAGGTTAGGTGATTTCCCCAAAGTCCTAGAGCTTATATATGGTGGAAAGGAGATTTGAGCCAAGGTGTGTGTTCACATCACTACACCGCACCTCACAGCTAAGAGCCATGTCTTTGGCCCACGCTGAGAGCTCAAAAGGTATCCAGTCAGCCTTGTGAGAACTAGAGTTTGGACCCAGTTAGAATTTTAGTAGAGGGAAACAGCAAGTGTATATAATTTCAAGGAAAGCAGGAAGGCAGAAATATCTAGAGAGGAGAGAGAGAGAAGCATGCTGGGTAGAAGGGGAGAAAGCATAAAGCAGAAATAATAATTTTAAATGAGAGTTGACATACTCCTTTCTCAATTTGAGTGGGGAGTAGAAGGGTTTTGATAAGGTGTATCAGACAAGGAAAAGAGGCAGAAAAGGAGGCAAAATGTAAGCAAACAGTTTGCAAATTCTCACAACAAACCCTACGCAGCAGGGACTAGAATTATTCCCCTTCTGCAGATGGCAAAACTGAGTCCCACTGAGGTGAAACAGTACCTCTAGTTCCACAGCTAGTAAGTGCAGAGCCCAAACTCAAATCTCAGTTCCAGGGTCTGAGTGCCTAACCACACACTGTCAGCACTGCCCATCCCAGTTCAAGGAAGAGGAAGAGGAGACAAATAGGACTGATTTTATTACATGCTCAGAAGAAAGCACTTTACACTCATTATTTCACTGAGTTATTTCAGGGTCCTTGTGAGGTGAACATGACCTCCAGTTTAAGTTAAGGAAACTGAAGTGCATCTTGGTTAAAATTTCTCGCTTCAGGTCCCTGTGAAACTGAAACAATGAAGTCAGTACTCAAAGGCTAATTCAGCTAACTCCAAACCTAGGCTGTTTTTATTGTCCCATAAGAAGTACAACTCTAAAATTAGGAATCGTCTTAAAATACTAAAGCCCACTGAGCATTGTGCTCTTTGAAAGAATTATCGACATGGGATTAAACCAACAACACCAACTTGAAAGATGAGATAGGAAATTTAGGGGGCAATGAGTCCATGGTCATGAGGGAGGAACAATTTAGAAAAGGAGGATGGGAAGGGTTGCACAACTCGAAGAACATAATCAGTGATGTTGAACTGTCCGTGTAGAAATAGTTGAATTTCTGTATGTTCTCCTATGTATATTCTCAAGAACAAAATAAAATAAATCATTTTTAAAAATACTGAGAAAAAAAAAAACAACCCACATGGGGCTCTGAGAAGTATAAAACAGAAAGCTGAAAGAAGATAGAAATACATTTCATTATGTTTATTGGAAAATAAGGTATGACTGGAGAAGGAAATCTTTTCCTTGTGTTTGGTTGGGGAGGAAAATAGACAGCATGCAGACACCTTTGTAAAGCAAACTTGTGAGGGGAAGAAACAAGGCAATCCCTAAGAAAGTGGTTTGGAAATCAAGCAGACGAAAGAAATACCAGAGATTCTTATCTTTACTGTTTATTTGAATTTAGGAACAAGCATATGGAACAGAGAGTAAGTCACCTGTATGTACAAGTGCTTCCCTTAGTGCCCACCTGTGAGTATAAAATGCTGG